CCCGGGGCACCTTCCCCAGGGGCCTGCTGCGGCCTGAGGCGGCCTCCCTCCCCGCCCGCCGGCTGTGCCCGGCCTGAGCAGCTACAGGATCCACCTCCCACCATCAGCCAGGTGCCTGACGGGCCAGTTCCTCAGAGGGGGCGTAGCGAGACCATGGCTGTCACAGCCACGGCCACGGCCACGGCCACGGCCACGGCCACGGCTGCACCATGTGGACAGAAACAGGCCCTGTGCTCGCTAAGCTGTCACCTCACGCTGGCGCTTCAGCAGCTCCAGTCTGTGCCCACCCGGGTGTGCAGGCGTACCCTGCCGGGCACACCCCCAGCCGGGCACACCCCCGGCCGGGCCTCCGGTGAGAGGCTCTGGCTCCGGACAGCCGCACACACCGCGTGGCCCCACCTCTCCCCCGGGGCCTGGCCACCTCCTCACACGCCTGCCGTCCGGCACTGCACCGGCCTGTGCAGGCTCTGCCCGGGCGCCTCCCGCTCCGGCTGGTGCACAGCCTTCTGGAAACTCCGGTCCTGCCCCGCGCCTCCCGCTCCGGCTGAGCTCGGCTGGCGCCCTGCGTAAGGCTGTCTGGGCTGGTGGCCTCAGACCTCGAGCGCCCGGCACACAGCCTCGTCCCCCTGAGGCTGAGGCCGCCTGCGGGCCAGAGCGCCTGCAGGCCTGGCACGGGGACGGGCACAGGGTGGGCACCGCAGGCGTGCGTTCCCTGCAGGCCACCGCTGAGGTGGGCACAGGCCCTGGGGGAAGAGGCCCAGCCTCCTGCAGCCACTGGCAGTGACATCCCCCGAAAACCAGACAGCCCGGGCCCCGCCCCCTCCCTGCACTGCCGTCCCACACGGCCGCCCCGGCCCCGCTGAACCGCAGTTTCCACCCCGTCTCCTCCGTCCGGAGGGAAGCCTGCTCTGGAAGGCAGAGACAGACAGACAGACAGACAGACAGACTCTGCCCTCAGCCCCGGAAGGCGTGCTGACAGGAGGTGTGTGAGCAGACACCTCCTCTCTGCCCTGAACATCACGGAGGCCAGAGGCCGGGCAGGAACCCCGTGGGCCGAGCGCATCTGGGGATCCTGGCGCTTCCTTCCAGATGGAAAGGCACGAAGCTGCCCCGGCAGGACCGGGACCCTGAACGGGGCTCACTGTAAGGGGGCTGGGGGCAGAGGAGTCCAAGGGAAGAGCCAGACACCTCGTGGTCCCAGCACCGGCTTCCTCCCAGGAGGCCTGCACCTCCCTGTCCCAGGACCCGACTGTCGGTGCCCCTTCCAGCCTGTCCCTCGGGCCCCAGTGCCGGGTGGCGCTCCCCGAGCACCCAGAAGCCCCTCCAGGGGACCCTGTCCCGGGACCAGGACCGAGCGCGCTGCCGACGGCGCACAGAACCACAGGCCCGTCCATACGGAGGGGCGCCAGCTGTCTCCCAGCGAGGGGTGCCCTCCTCCTCGGGGCGCCCTCTTTCTCTGGGTGCCCTCCTCGGGGCGCCCTCCTCGGGGTGCCCGGTCAGGGGTGCCCGGTGGGGGGGTGCCCGGTCGGGGGGGGGTGCTCAGTTGGGGGTGCCCGGTGGGGGGGTGCCCGGTGGGGGGTGCCCGATGGGGGGGTGCCCGGTGGGGGGGTGCCCGGTCGGGGGGGTGCCCAGTGGGGGGGTGCCCGGTCGGGGGGTGCCCGGTGGGGGGGGGTGCCCGGTGGGGGGGTGCCCCGTCGGGGGGTGCCTGGTGGGGGGGTGCCCGGTCGGGGGGTGCCCGGTGGGGGGGTGCCCGGTCGGGGGTGCCCGGTGGGGGGGTGCCCCGTCGGGGGGTGCCCGGTCGGGGGTGCCCGGTCGGGGGTGCCCGGTCGGTGGGGGGGTGCCCGGTCGGGGTGCCCGGTCGGGGGTGCCCGGTGGGGGGTGCCCGTGGGGGGGTGCCCGGTGGGGGGGTGCCCGGTCGGGGGTGCCCGGTCGGGGGTGCCCGGTCGGGGGTGCCCGGTCGGGGTGCCCGGTGGGGGTACCTGGGCCGCAGGCTCCGCGCTGCAGCAGGAGCACGGGCGGGCGCTGCAGGCTCTGGGCGCGGCGGGCGGCGGCGCGCAGCTGGCACTCGGAGGCGTAGGTGACGGCGTCGCTGCCGCACACGGGCTCGGGGCGCGCGCACTCGCACAGCCCGGGCGCCGCGCGCCGCCGCACGGTGGCCGAGGCGGGCACCCCGCGGGGCACCACGCAGCGCAGCCCCTCGCCGCACGGCGCCCCCTGCGCCCCGCACTCGGCGCCCTCGGCCGCCCCGCACACCTCGCAGCAGCCGCAGGCGTCGGGCACCGGGCCGGCCGGGCAGGGCCCGGGCTCGGCGCAGCGGGCGGGCTCGCAGCGCGCGGGGCAGCCGGCGGGCGGCTGGGCCCGGGCGGGCGCCGCGAGCAGCAGCAGCGGCAGCAGCAGGGGCAGCGCGGGCTGCATGGCGGCCGGCCGTCCGACGGGAGAGGCTGAGGCCCAGGAGCCGGGCAGGAGCGAGTGGAGCGCCTCTGAGCGGGGAGCCGGGCCTGGATGGGCCGGGCGGGCGGAGGGGCCGGCCGGGCGGGGGCTGGATGGACGCCCGAGGGGGCGGGCGGGGCTGCTTCCTGGTCCTCGGTCCTCCCGCTCCTGCAGGGTCCCCTTCGAGCTCTGAAGCCGGGAGACCCTGCGGAGGGCCCTGCGGAGGGCGCCCTGGAGCCCGGGAAGTCCCCGCAGCGGCCCGGGACCGCCCTGCTGCCCCAGGGGCGGGGGTGGCGGCCGGGGCCGAGGGGCGGGGCGGGTGGCGGGGAGCCTGGCCCTCCGTTAGCGGATCGGCCGGCCGGGAGGGAGCGGGGAGCGGTTAGAGCCCGTCCTCCGGTCCCTCCAGGAGCAGAGCCGTCAGGAAGGAGCGGGCGGAGCAGTAGGGTGGGGCGGGGGGGCGGGTGACGGGAGGTGAAGGGGGGAGGGGGGAGGGGGCGGAGGGCTGGGCTGTGGATCCTCACCCTCGGGGTGATTTGTAAACGTTGTTGTTGTTGTTAATAAAACGTCTCGCCGTGAGTATTCTGTGCGTCTTTGGGGACAGACTGAGTCAGGAGGGCTGAGGCGACCTTGGAGGGGACCCCGAACAGGGCGGCTCAGGCCGGGCCGGCCCCACGGCAGGTGGACTAAGCCCCACGGGGTCCCCGAGAAGCACAGGGAAGAGCCTAAACCGGTTTGGCTCAGTGGATAGAGCATCGGCCTGCGGACAGAGGAGTCCCGGGTTCAATTCCGGTCAAGGGCATGTACTTTGGGTGCGGGTGTGCAGGAGGCAGCTGATCGATGTTTCTGTCTCATCATAGATGTTTCTTACTTTCTATCCCTCTCCCTTCCTCTGTGTAAAAAATCAATAAAATATATTTAAAAAAAAACAAAAACAAAACCACGGAGATCAGAGGAGCCTGGCGCCTGCCTGCTGTCCATCTCTCTGCCCTGACACCTCCACAGCCAGAAGCAGTGCTGCTGGTTTCCCTCGATTTGTATGGATGTCAGAGAGGAAGGGAGAGGGAGAGAGAAGCATCCATGATGAGGATCATGCACTGGCTGCCTCCTGCACGCCCCCCACTGGGGACGGAGCCCACAGCCTGGGCCTGGGCCCTGATGGGAATGAGCTGGGACCTCCGACCTCCTGGTTCATAGGTCGGCGCTCACCACAGCCTCGCAGCCGGCTGCGCCCTGTTTCTGTGCAGCAGGGCTGAGGTGAGGCCTCATGGGGAGGTGCTGCTGAGCTGCTGGCCTGGGGCCCCTCTGGGTGACAGGACTCAGTCAGCGTGTCCCCTGTTCCCGTTTCTTCTCTGCTCTCGCTGGGGGTCCTGGGGGTGAGGCCAGGCTCGGGCGCTCCTGCAGAGACAGACTCCCAGGGCAAGTCTGGGGGGGGGTGGGCGCTGGGGCCAGAGGGTGGGCAGAGACCCCTGCTCGCCTGTGCTGAGCACGGAGGGCCTCGGGGTCGTCTGGAGGGACGTGGTCAGACCCTGCCGGGCCCTCCTGGGCCACGGCCGTGTGGGGGCAGAGCTGGACGCAGGGACGCAGGTGCTGCTGCCGGCTCAGGCGGGGCAGTCATTGTTACGTCCCGCTGAGGTGCTGGGGCTGGGACCGCCAGACTCGGCTCCCAAAGCCGATGGCCGAAGGGGGGCGTTCTCCCCGGTCCCTGCCTGCCCCAGTCACTGCCCCCGGTCAGCCCCCCCAGTCACTGCCCCCCCAGTCACTGCCCCCGGTCACTGCCCCCAGTCACTGCCCCCCCAGTCACTGTCCCCCCCGGTCACTGCCCCCCCGGTCACTGCCCCCCAGTCACTGCCCCCCCAGTCACTGTCCCCCCCAGTCACTGTCCCCCCCGGTCACTGCCCCCCCGGTCACTGTCCCCCCCGGTCACTGCCCCCCCGGTCACTGTCCCCCAGTCACTGCCCCCGGTCACTGCCCCCGGTCACTGCCCCCGGTCACTGCCCCCCCCAGTCACTGCCCCCAGTCACTGCCCCCGGCCACCCCCCCCCCAGTCACTGCCCCCGGTCACCCCCCCCCCAGTCACTGCCCCCGGTCACTGCCCCCCCAGTCACTGCCCCCGGTCACTGCCCCCGGTCACTGCCCCCGGTCACTGCCCCCCGGGTCACTGTCCCCCAGTCACTGCCCCCGTTCACCCCCCCCAGTCACTGCCCCCGGTCACTGCCCCCCCAGTCACTGCCCCCGGTCACCCCCCCCAGTCACTGCCCCCGGTCACTGTCCCCCAGTCACTGCCCCCGGTCACTGCCCCCGGTCACTGGTCCCCGCTGCCCGAGCCTGGCCCTGAGCGGTGAACCGCGGCCGCCGGGCGCCGGGCGGAACCTGATTCAGGGCCGTGGATGACGGGACCGGGCCGGGTCAGCACCGGCTCCGATCAGGTGCCCTCGCCGCGGCTGGGGGGCGGGCGGGGCGCTGTTGTTGTCTAACGAAGATGCCTGGAGTTCAGAGGTGCACGTCCGTCACGTCTCATTTTGTTCCGGTTGTTTCCGTGGCAGAGAGGGCGTGGGCAGGTGTGGCTGAGACGTGGGGACACGGGGTCACGGGTCAGTGAGGGTTTAGACGTAAAATGATTTCAAAGTTAAAAACAAACAACTGTTTAAAAGGAAAAATGAGGCCTGGCCAGTGTGACTCATTGGTCGAGCGTTGTCCTTGCACCGAAATGTCGCCGATTCCCGGCTGGGGTGTGTGTGAGGCCACTGACCATTGTTCCTCTCTCCCTCACTCCCTCTCTCCTTCTCTCCTTCTCTCCCTCTCTCCCTCTTTTCCTCACTCCCTCTCTCACTCTCTCCCTCTCTCCTTCAATCCCTCACTCACTCTCTCCCTCTCTCTCACTCCCTCTCCTTCAATCCCTCACTCACTCTCTCCCTCTCTCTCACTCTCTCCCTCTCCCCCTCACTCCCTCTCTTCTTCAATCCCTCTCTCTCTCCCTCTCTCCCTCACTCCCTCTCTCCCTCTCTCCCTCACTCCCTCTCTTCTTCAATCCCTCACTCTCTCCCTCACTCCCTCTCTCCCTCACTCCCTCACTCTCTCTCTCTCTCTAAAAAAGAAAATCAATTTTAAAATCTTTAATGATTATAGTATTTTTTAAAGGAAAAAATACCCTATCAATGAGTCAAACACAGAGAAGCTGGAAAGGCCCCCTGGGCCATGTGACCCCTCAGGGAGAGGGCTGGGCTGGACCATGTGACTTGGACCACATGACTCTCAGGGAGAAGGCCCGGCTGGGTCACATGATCCATCACCAACAAAGCAGGACCACAACCAGACACCACTTCAGCCCAGGTCTCTGGCCAGAAGCGCAGACCAGGGGACGGGCAGAGATGCCAGGATGGGGAGAGGGGACGTGGTGTGGCCACTTCGGACAACGGTCTGGCCAGTCCTCAAACAAACAGCCACCAGGGCACCCAGCAGGCCAAGCTCCGCACGAGAGCACTCAGAACCTGTCAGAGGCTCAAAGCGCCGTTTCCCCGAAGAGGAAAGACCCCAGGCCGGTGGCCGTGCCGTCTCTGCAGCGGCTGCTCCTCAGCCGGGAAGAGGGACGCACCCACAGTGCCCAGCGTGGCGGCCTCGGACACCTCCCCTCAGAGAGAGAAGCCGGGCACAGAGGCCACAGTACGCGACTTCATTCACACAACATGTCCGGAACTGGAGATTTACACACACACACACACACACACACACACACACACACGGAGGAAGAGAGAGAGAGAGAGAGAGGGCTGGGGTGAGGGCAGAGGCACCGCACAGGGAGGGGTCTTTTTAAGGTGTGAAATGTTTTAAAATTGATGTGGTGATGGTTGCAGGTATTTTAGGCACACTAAAGACCTCCCCATGCGTACACTTCCGCGGTGAATTGCACGGTATTTGAATTCCATCTCAGTTTAAAAAACAACACAAACCCCACGGGGGCAGCTGGACACCTGGAGCCACAGGAGGCTGGGACCGTGGTGGCGTCATGTGGAATCCGTGTTTACACGCCTGTAGTTCCCGGGCCAGGGCGGCTCCTGAGACACCAGCCCTTCACCCAGCCAGTCTGCTCCACGCAGCCCAGGGGCGGGGTGTGGCCAAGCCCGGAGCAGCTGCCGCTGTGCCACCCCCGCAGCCGGCGGCACCGGCCGCCTACGGTCCAGTCAGAGCCTCTGCGGCAGCGAGCACGGCTCTGAGGCCAACCCATGTTTATCTTTTTATTTCCTTTCTTCCCTGAAATGGGTTCCATTTTTTAAAACATATTTTTATTGGTTTCAGAGAGGAAGGAAGGAGAGAGAGTCAGAAACATCTAAGATGAGAGAGAATCATGGATCAGCTGCCTCCTGCACACCCACTAATGGGGATTGAGCTTGCAGCCCGGACATGTGCGCCTGACCGGGAATCAAACCTGGAACCCTTTTGTTCGCAGGCCAACGCTCTATCCACTGAGCCACACCAGCTAGGGCTCGGTTCCATTTTTTATGGGACCTCCAGCTCTCAGCACTCCAGCCGGGCCTTCTCCCTGAGGGGTCAGGGCCGGGCCACCTTCTCCCGGAGGGCAGGGTTAGGGTGTGGTCTCTGCCTCGTGGGGAGGGCTCGGTGCTAGGCCTGGGAGGGGGTCCTGCGGGCGGGCCAGGTGGGTGGGTTGTGCTGGGCCTGGGTGTGGTCTCTGTGACCTAGGGCCCCCCCGGCTTCCGCCCGGGTGACTGGGTGCTGACTGGAACCCAGGCCCGAGGCCGGACCCTACGTGCAGGGGAGACTGAGGCGGAGCCAGGGGGCCGGGTGGGGCCGGCTGAGTCACAGAGGGGAGCGAAGGTCACGGTCAGATGTGAGCAGCAAAAAGCACTGCAGACTGGCTGGTCCGCAGGCGCCCGAGGCCGGCTGGGGATTGGATGCGGCCCCTCTCCCGCTGGGAGGCCCCGGCCGGCCCCGCGATGGGTCTGCGGCAGCAGCTACTGCCTGTCACACCCGCAGCCCACAGACAAGACCCACCCATCACGCAGTGCTGTCCGCACAAACCCCAGGACCCGGGAGCTGGGCTGGAGCGGGTTCGAG